TGTGTGTGTGTGTGTGTGTGTGTGTGTGTGTGTGTGTGTGTGTGTGTCTCTCTCTCTCTCTCTCTCTCTCTCTCTCTCTCTCTCTCTCTCTCTAACGGCTGGCCAGACACACACACAGTATCCCCTATTACAAGACAATAAGTACATAATGTTTTCACCCCTCAGCTCATAGAGAGCCGAGATACTACCACCTGAAATAAAAACCCCTTTCATTAGGTGAAATGACTCTATGGCCTTCTTTACCAAAAGGGCTTTTGGATTACCTACAGCATCCCCTCCTGAGAAAAGGCTATCTGGACAACAAATTCAGAGGGCTTTTTGAAAATGAAACCTCATAGCCCCACCATGTAATGATGAGGTCCCAAGTGTCCAAAGTGAACAGGGACAATCAGAGGCTAGAGACTCTAAGAGATCCTAGTAGGCTATAGAAAGTGACTGGCTGGTGGGCTATGCACTCCAGAAGCCTTTAGAATCAGCTTGCTTGTTGAAAGTAGTCTTGCATTCCGCCACAGGAGATGGAGGTGGATAATCAGCTCTCGGAGTCAGCCTTCAGAGAAAGCCATAACTTTCCCCTTTTGGGGGAAGCCCAAGGGACAGGATATATACCCAAGAGAATACAGGATAAGCTTTGATTCCTTAGCAGAAAACAAAGAGGTTCCACCTGATCTTTAAAATCATCTCTGGCCTCATGCAGGTCCTCATGCTTTTTTTGGATTTTCTAGTGGAATCCAGAGGCCTGCAGCAAGGTGGATCTGAGGATGTCCATTTCACCCTGACAAGAATTCCTTTTACCAGGTTACCTGTCTCAATAGATATCTGAAGCTGATAATGAGCCAATTCTACAAGTATTTTTGGTCCACTTTATTGTCTTGATAAGTTTCCTAACATAAAAACTGTAAACCAAATGTCAGAACTTCTCTTCTGGCTAACTTAACCTACACAATTTTCCTTCAATTCCCAAAGACTATTTTTCAAAAATAATAGGATTAGAAACTTAAACATCATCACTATATGAGTGTCCTGTCCAAATTTCAGCAAACAAAATATAAGTCGCTGAAGTAATCAGTCATTTAACCATGTTTTTGTAAAGGATCACAGATGCTCATCCACAATTGATCATGACACACGAGAATGAAACAAAACACAGATAGATTTTAAAGCAGGAGGCCACAACTTCTTATATTTTTAACTTTAATGAGGGAGACACCAACTCTCCATTTGTCCAAAAAAATTCCAGGCATTTACTTGTGTCCAATGTGATGTTAAAGGGCTTCCATGTCAAATATCTAGCATTCAGAGTTGGCCCCCTTCAGCCTATTCCCCTAGGATTCAGCGAGCCTCTGAATTCTCTTGCATTCCTCACAAGACAAAATGACGGTACACTCAAAGATACCTCAGTCTGTGAAGAACTAAAGACTCTCCTCATTCCTCCAGATGAGCAAGGTCAACAAGCCAACTTTTGGGTCTCTTATGCAGATTCATAGAAACGTAGGGCTGGAAGGGAGCTTGAGTGGTCATCTATACCAGACCCCCGTGCTAAGGCAGGACCAAGTAAACCTACACTATCCCTGACAGTGTTTGTCCAGCCTTTTTCTTAAAAATCTCCAATGACAGGAATTACATAACCTCCCTTGCTAACCCATTCCAGAGTTTACCTACTCTGATAGTTAGAAAGTTTTCCTAATATCTAACCTAAATCTCCCTTGCTGCAGATTAGGACCATTACTACTTGTCCTACATTTAGTGCTCTGGGCATGGGGAAAGAAAGGAGGGGTTGTGAGTAGCCCGAGCCTAACCCTCCCCTTCTTCTCAGGATCAAAGGGTTGTCTGTCACCTGTAGATCTGATACAACTCCCTCCCCCACCCACCATACACACACACACACACACACACACACACAGGGATGAGGGGGATTTAATAAAGTATTTTAAAAACAAATCAATTTGCATTGAGCCTGTTCTTTCCTAGTAGCTAGCTGGAAATTATTTGATCTTTGAGTGTAAAGAGGAGTTCTCTCATCTCATAAGCATCTCTTTGCTTGTTACATGTACAGTCTCTGTAATGATCTTCCCCACAATGATTGCAGTTAATATATTAGCCTCTTGGATTGGACACAAACAAGATGCATTATTACTCTCACATACAGTACTTTGCAGAAAGTGCTTTGTTGATTAGTCATGGAAGATTATTTTTCAGCAAACAGCAACCTATTCTTATAAAACCATAAAAAGATTTGTGAAGTACTGGAACAATTTTCTACTAGTTCTGAAAATATTTAACTAGTATGAAAGATGTTTTCATTCACTGTTTGATCTTCAGGGACATAGCACTTAGCATCCACTCCTTTGCTACACGAGACTTCTCCCTTTCAGAATCTATTTTCATATATGGTAGAGTTTATAAGTGAAATGAGTTTGGTAGTCTTAAATCTAATCCACGGGGCGTATTTTCTCACATTAGAGCACCATATAATGCAAGTCAGAAACACAGCTATGTTGTAAACCATGCATCACATCTGCTTGCTAATACTTCCAACAATAGCAAGTGCTACCGAAACATCACTTTAATAAGAATGAACAAATTAATTCAAAATCACTTTTTATAAAAGACTATTTGCAAATGACTAAACTTGCCTAATACTGGTGCAAAGACACCAGAAGACCAGCATAACTACTAGTCAAGCAAGTATCCAAGACAAAAGTGGAGCATAACACAGACTGCTAAACAGGCAGTATATGTTGCCTCTGAATACTGGACAGATTTCATTTTTGGTTTTGAATATTGACATTTGTTCTATCTACAGTTTGCAAAGATAAACTAAGCTCCTCTGAATCCCATCTACTCAACTACCCCAAATAAGCAGATGTAACTGGGAGAGCCCATGGGAAGGGAAAAAATGACTGTTAGCAAAACTTTGTGAAGCAGGAAAAAACAGAAAATGTACACTTTCCTTTTACACAGAAGATATCATTTAGGCTGATGGAACTCACAAGACCTCATAACTATTCTCTCTGCACATGCTCAGTTCAGTAAGAAGCATCATCTGTGCAGATTCTGCAATGATATTAGGATGCACAATGAATCACAACTGTGCCCTATGATTCTCCAAGGTCCTTAAGTGCAGGGATTTTTTCCTCCATTTTTTCCCCAACAAATCTTTCCCCGAGCTAAGGATCAGGGTGGCCTCCAGTGTCCTAACTGGTACCAAAGCCTGGAGACTTAAGCAAGTCTCAACTTGCTACTTTCTCAGAGGTACTGAGGACATGGCACTGGTAGATCTTCTCCATATTGGTGACTCTGGGTTCATGAGAGAGAATGAGATCCTCTGAAGAAAGGAACTGGGAAGGAGGAGGTAGAGGGCTCTGATAGCCTTACATGAAGTTTGGGATGATTCTGATTGGCGAGATGGAGGCTGTTGAGGTATCGAGGTAATTGTGGTGTCATCTCCTTTTTCAGAGGTATGGTTAGATGCTGCTACCATCGCACTGATAGACCTGGATCTCTTGCAGTGCTGCAAGGTGTCAGACGGTGCTGCCTCAGTAGTTACTCTGGTGATAGCTATGTCCAAATGAGGTTTTGCCTCTGTACCAAGGCTTCAGTACTGCACTCAGTCAGAGCTTCTACAATACCCTTAGAGGGATGAGAGGTCTCCTGAGAATGGGTCTTATGGGGCTACCTATCTCTTTTCTTCATTTCCTTGTTTGAAGAGATAGGTTTCCTCGTCCAGAACTGCAAATGAAGCAGCAACAAGGACCGAGATGGCCTATGACCAATGTTCCGGGGGATAGTGACTTCTCCAGAGCTAGGGCTGAAAGATCCAAGAAGTGGAGGGAAAGGAGCCCCTCTCCCCTCTTCTACTAACACACTAGTGTTAAATAAAATAAATAGGTATCAAATGAATGCAGAAAAAACTACTAAAATAAATAATATGGTAAAGAATTCACAAAATGAAGGCAGGAAGCTGCATACAGCAGAACTCTTTCTTGAGCCACAGGCAGCTGAGAAAGAACAGTGCGGTGGCAGGCTCAGGCCTCCCCATAACCTCTCATTCAGAGCATGAGGCATTGCTCTCCTACAGTCACTACATTGTAGTCTCTGGTTGCAATTGCATGCACACATCCTATAGTGGAGCACCGACAGGAACATATACTAGAAGAACTTAGATTTCCAAAATAGCATGGTTGTATAAGGATCAATTAAAACCTGTGCTGTGGAGAGATTTTCCATTTTTGCAGAAGTGTACTGCTACAGCATATATATTTGTGCAAATATGCAGCTAACTATTACTGAGGTTTTTCATTACAGAAAGTATTTACAAGATTTGAATGAAGCTACACCAATTTATACCAGCTGAGTGTCTGGTGTGGTTTTTAAGAAGTCTCACCACAGAAAACAGAAATCAAGATTTTTCAGTATAGAAGTATGAAGGGGAGATACTTGGGTAAGCATAATTGGATTTCATATTTTACTTACCACATGAGTGATTTTCAAGGTGTTACCATCAAATCTGCATAAGCTTGTGCTGTCTTCAAGAAAAATATCACATTCCTCTAATTCCTGTGCATTACAAGGAGGGTTTTCTTTGTCAGGGTTTGGATTCTGAAACCAGAAAACAATTAAATGCACTGAAAATCTGGAATACCTGGTTCACAATATTATACTAAACTATATATTCATAATGAAGCTTTACAGATCAACAGCAATGATTTATATAACCAATTTACAGTTCTGCAGCTTCTTTCATACTCAATGATCCAAAAGCATTTCATGCATTTACTTATCTACCAGAAAAGCAGCCACTTCTGGAGTGGAAGGTAGTAGATAACTGGTATGCAACACAATGTGCAACAGGGTTGGAAGGGGAACTTTTTGTTGAGGAATACCTGGACAATTCCCTTCTCTTAGGGAAAGTGCCATGCAATCTTTAATGTCCATGTATATCAAATAAAACTTACATTTAAAAGGTCTCTTCCAAAAAACTCAAAGTAAACTTCATGGTAATCATTTTAGCTACTGTACCCGGTACCTTCTCTGGTATAAAGGGCTGGGAACCATGCTGGAATGAGAACTAGGGTTTCAGTTTGTCCAGGGCCAAATTTAAGTCAATGGATTTACAACAGGGATGAATATGGCTCCAATCTAGGTATTTCAAACTAAAGTCATCCCTTCAGCTAATGGTTGTTACTTGCCATAGCATAGCTATACTCCTAGATTCACAGGTGTATGTTAATTTTGCATTCATTGGGGTTGAAGTTGTAGAGCCTTTTCATTTGCATAGGATACTGACAAAAGAATACTCACAAAAGGAGTGTTTCTATTTTGACTTTGTTCACTTGTGGGTGGCCCTTTGGATTGTTTATACCTTTTACCAGTTGCCATGCTTCTCCCATACTTATTACATTGACTGCATAGTAAAGTGTCATCACAGCGAGATAGGTATTTTTACCTTCAGTTTTAAACCTAGCAGAAATGCCAGAAAGTGATGGGATGACTCACTATGTAGTAGCTCCTGTTTATCTTCCAAATACAAACCTCCTCTCAGCACTGCTAGTAATCACTTAAAATTGACATAAGATTTATAGCTCTCTTATCCTTCTGATAATGGAAAAGGATACATGCTTGGCCTTTGGCTGATATTTCTCAAGGCAAAAATTGAGAGGACAGTATGTAGTGGATATGTGCTAAGGGAGATGCACTCAAGAAAGCAGATAACCAGTCCTTTTAAAAAAAAAAATCACTTTAATAAACTAGACTTCATAAAGCACTAGAATGTCGTTCTTGCTTTCTAGTTAGGCATTTATAAAGTACTCAATCTACAACGGTAAGGAACAGTCGTACACTGAAAGGGGATTTATTACTGTTGATAAGCTACAGTATTTTCCATCTCTAATTTCTAGGAATCAGAAGAGTGAGACTTTGGTCAAATATATTAGTCTGAAATCACAGCTAGTCATAATACAGACAATTTTTACAAATATCTGGATGGAGGAAACAGTGGGCAGCCTGACTTGGGAGGTGCAGGGGGGGAGGGGCTGTTATGAGGAAAGGTTTCTTCTGAGGGAAGCTGAGCTTCTTAGTGGAGAAGAGACTTAGTTCAAATTCACTTTCTAACAGAAGCCTTCAAAATTACGAGGTGTGAGCACGTGTGGGTATGTGTGTTTTTTGAAGTTTGACCAAAGTGAATTTGTTTGCGCTTTGTATTTATTGCCTCCTTGCATTTTGCCTATAGATTGGAATTTTTGATCCTGAACAACAGAAAAGCAGTTTATGCTAGAAATTTCAATCTTGCCATGTTTAGCAGCCCTCACTAAGGAAGGAAACAATCCAAAGCACAAGTTAACTGGTTGAGCTGTTTTAGAGTTCTTCAGTTTCACACATGCCTGTTAGAACCTTTCCATTCAAGTTTTTGGATGATTTATGTTAAGTTTTTTGATACCTCTATTAAAGCTACTTCCTTTCAGGATGCATTGGTGAAAGGTGCATTGCAAGTAAACATCACCTTTCTCCCTTTTCTCTCTTCATAATTAGTACCTGCTTTGCTTAGGAGATGAAGAGCTCACAGCCAAGGTGCGGTGCAGAATTAAAGTAGCTGATGTTTTATCCTGAAAGACAGTTACAACTAGTTCTCAAGCATCTGCTCCAGGACATTAATTTTTGAGAATCTTTCTTAAAATTATGATGCTTGCATATGGATGCCACCAGCATAATATTGTTCAAATTGAGAGACGAGAGAAAATATTTGCTCAGAGATTATGGGTCTATTTCATGAGTGGATTGGGTGAGGTTCTGTGGCCTGCAACCTGCAGGAGGTCAGACTAGATGATCATGATGATCCCTTATGGCCTTAAAGTCTATAGGCAGTTCAGTGGTACATAGTGTGACCACAGATCTATTGTTGGCTCAAAACGTGTGGCAGAAATATCATCTGCTATAAATAACAAAGTTTCTTTTCTTCATTTCATAGAGAAAATGAAAGCCTAAACTAGAAGTTTTAAAGTCATTTGATCATGCATGAACTTCTATGTATACATGGATATAATTAAATATAGGGAGGGAAGGGACCATATCCACCCAGCTTCCAGCTGAAGGGAGGGAGAGTGTCTTTTTATCCCCCAAACACTTGTATCCTAATAAAAACGTGTTGCAACAGGGGACTATGAACACAGTCTTTGGTCTAGGATGATCAGAAGGCTCAGGAAAGTAGGACTGATCAGGGACTGGAGATAGGGAAAGGGAACTTTATTCCATCTCCAAACTTGGACTATGCCAGCTCCAAACTGGCTTACCAGCACCTCCCATCCACTGCCAATCAACTGTCCAACAGAGTAAGTGAGAATGGGGCTTTCACTGCCTGGAGGAATAGTTTATAGAGCTGGGCAAAATATTCTAGATGAATAAATTATTTGCCAAAATTGTAGTTTCAGGTCAACCCTACTATTAGCGAATTTGACACAAATCTGCCAAATAGTTTTGGACAAATACAAATTTTTGAGCTAGATCACTAGGTGACTTATACACCACTAACAAACAATCAGAGAAGGAGGAGGAGCAGCCACCCACCCTTATACCCAAAAGTCCATAGGTTAAGGACATTCACCCAGGATGTGGGTGATTCAGGTTCAAATCACTGCTCTGGAGCAAGGAGTTGAAGCCAAGTCTCCCCTCTCTTAGTGCCCCAATCCCTGGGCTATTGGTTATTCTGGGGTGGGTCTCTCAATCTCTGATGTTGAAGAAGCTCCTCTTTGTATAAATAATTAAAAACTGATTGGAGTAGGGACTCAAACTTGGGTGTCTCACATGCCTGGTGAGTGCCCTAAATACCACACTCTAGAGCAGGGGTCGGCAACGTTTGGCACGCGGCTCGCCAGGGAAAGCACCCTGGCGGGCCGGGCCGATTTATTTACCTGACGCGGCAGGTTCGGCCGATTGCAGCCCCCACTCGCTGCGCTTCGCCATCCCGGGCCAATGGGGGCGGCGAGAAGCGGCGCGGGATGTACTGGCCGCGGCTTCCCACCACCCCCATTGGCCCGGGACGGCGAACCGTGGCCAGGGGGGGCCGCGATCGGCCGAACCTGCCGCATCAGCAGGTAAATAAACTGGTGATTAAGGCACTGGGAGGATCATGCTGCGGAGCAGGGACTTAAATCTGGGTCTCCTATATCCCAGGTGAGTATCCTAACCATGGGGTTTATTAGATTTAAGGGGTGGGATGCGGCACCACCACCACTTTTCTCATCCTTGAATTGAGCCCTCCATTTCTTTTGTTTTATTAAAAAACACAAAAGGTTACAAATACCTGGAAATTACAAAACATTTAGTTTCAGATCAAACCAAAGCTTTGACCTGAAGTATCCCTGTCAAAACTGGTTTCTGTTTTATCGTAACTGATTTCCCCCTCTCCCCAAGGGATAACGAGAGAAAAGGAGGTTGTTTGGCTGAAAAAAATACACCAACTTCCTCCTCCCTCCCACACCCGCAGGATTAGTGCCTCTACATGCAGGAAAGGCTGTCTTGAGGACTTGTGCAACTGGAAGGTGGGGGCTCATGGGAAGGCCTCTGGGAACGTAGGGCAAGGTGCCATGAGGGGACAATACTTGAGTTACATATGCTCAGTTTGTCATCAAGTTCACCAGCTCAGCTAGCCAATAACTTCTTTAAAATGGTCAATCTGCAAGGAGGAGTAACAAAAACTAGAGAAAATGTTCTTATAACTCTAAGAGGAACACTTACAGTTTTCAGGGACACATGGTTACCCGATAAGGAGAAAACATGAGAAATGTTTTTAAAATTGCAAGGGAAGAGACAGGGTACATGAATTATACTGTAGGCTAAGAGACAGGACTCAAGAACAACCACACCTCTTTCATTAATGCTGATGTTAAAATCAAGAGGCAAAGTATTAGGGTGAAGAGCAGTGCAACCTCAATTTAGCTCAACTTCCCATTTCTGAATACCTCTAGTATCCAAAAGATGATCATACTTCAGATCTGCTGGGGGACATGATTATTTCTAATACCAGCAGATTTCAGGGTGGAAAAATATTTCATATTGGAGCCTGTGGGCTATCATCTCATCAGACTCTCCTTAGAATCAGACAGCTGACCTGGATGAGTGCACTCCGGCATTCCCCAAATGTTCTGGGTAGCCTGTGATCACTGGGGGGCGGGGGAAGGGGGGGAGAGGAGAGGGAGGGAGGAGGGAGAGAGAGGAAGAATCAGGTCTGCATTCTATTAATCTCAAAACAATTTTTTAAGAGACTGTATTAAGAACATGCAGAGTCTACCAAGTACAATATTGGTGTAGGTCCCATTTTCAAAGTTCATAATAAAACACAACCCTGCCTTCTAAAATTTTTATTAGAAAACACTCTCTCCTGGAGCACTTCAATTTATTCTACCACAAAATTTATTCTTTAGCAAACAGATGCAAATGAGTAACAATGAGCCTTCATTTCAGATTGAAAGATTAGAATCAACATATTGTGCATGTTAGAAAAATATATTTTATTGGATTTTCTAAAAACTTTATTATTTTTAAATATTTTAAAAATCTGAAAATTGCAATGGCATTTTTGATAAATTGTTACTTTATAGTTCAGC